TCTAGTGTGGCTCCCTATTGCCAGGGCTCACTTTAAGGACGGGCCATTCAACTGAGATTCTCTCAAGATATGGGGCAGAAAACTGCATTTAAAAACCCACTAGGATGTTTTTTGTTTGGTTCAGGATGAATAACGTTGACATGCGGAGAAGATACTTTTTGAATCATTTCTAGAATAAGAGCCTTGGTTTTAAAAGCAGGGAGTTTCAGTATGTTTTGTGTCATGAATAATCCTACATGACATGGCCCGTGACCCTTCAACCTTCTGGAACACAGGAAAGCTTGTAAGTCTTAATAAAGTAAACAAGTAGAGGCATTTTGTTACTTTTTGTTCAAATTTGAAGTTTTTTTTACTTCAGACTCTGTGGTATATACAGGATTTTAAATGTGGTTTTATATTTAGACTTCATTTAGGCTGCGTGAATATTGTAGGAAATAAGGCTTGATGGTCTGCTTCATAATGACATATATCTATACATAGATATTTTCGTAATAAACTTTTGATTTTGGAATAATTTTAGGTTTGCAGAAAAGTTACAAAGATAGTATAGAGTCCTGAATACCCCTCCCCCAGCGTCAGTTTCCCCCCATATTATTATCTTACATTACTGCGGTACATTTGTCAAAACTAGGTAACCAACATTGCTATGTTCCTATTAACTAAACTCCAGACTATATTTAGATTTCCTCAGTTTTCCCCAAACGTCCTATTTCTGTTCCAGGATCTCATCCAGGATACCATATTGCATTTAGTTGTCCTGTCTCCTTAGACGCCTCCGCTCTGTGATAGTTTCTCCATCTTTCTTGTTTTTCATTATCTTGACAGTTTTGAGAATATTGTTCAGATATTTTATAGAATGTTCCTCAATTGGGGTTTGTCTGATGTTTTTCTCCTGATTAGACTGGGTTATGGGTTTGGGGGCAGAAAACCACAGAGAGGAAATGTCCTTTGCATCACAAAGTATCAGAGCTGACATGATGTCCACGTGACATCATTGGTGATATTAACTTGATCACTTGGTTAAGATCACGCTTACCAGCCTTCTACGCTGTAAAGTTACTATTTCCTTCTTTCTTCGGAAGTGAGTCACTAAGTCCAGCCCACACTCAATGGAGTGGAGGGATTAAGCTCCACCACCTGGAGGCAGGTATATCTACATGTATTATTTGGAATTCAAAATCATAGTTTGATAATCTTTTTAATCTAAGGATATTACCCTTAGTGGACTTGTATTCTGTGTGTGTAAAGAAAGGAAATATGTACAGAAAGCCCTTAGTGCAAGCTCTTTCTTATTGTCTCTGTTCTGAGTAAACAGCATGTGTCCAATGCCATGTTGACTCTCTTGAATCTTTTGTCTAAAATGCCCAACCATATTGACCTATGCAGGATTATGACAGAAGTAAGTGGAGGGAGATTTGCACGTTCTTTTGAATGTATTTTCATCTTCAGATGAAGTGAAACTGAATTCTAAATATGGAATATAATAAACTCATTGATTTTAAATCAAAGTTAGGGTATGACAAACCCCACATGGCTATAGATTTATATGCCTCAGTTTCAACCGTGCCTTCACTCAGTGGCCAGCTGACAAATAGGTTTCTCTCATGATTTGCATCATGGCCTCCTCTCTTGGACCTTAGCATACATCCCTAGAGTGATGTTAGGGGTTGAATTATGTCCCTCCAAAATTCACATGTGGAAACCCTATCCCCCGGTACTTCAGAATGTGACCTTATTTGGAAATAGAGTCTTTGCAGATGTATTTAGTAAGATGAGGTTATTAGGGTGGGTCTTAATTCTGTATGACTGGTGTCCTTATAAAAAAGGGCAATTTGATCACAGAGATGCACATATAGGAGAACACTATGTGAAGATTAAGGCAGTGATTGGAACAATGCCTCTAAAAGCCAACACCACCAACGATTGCCAGCAAACACCAGAAGGTGGGCGAAAATTATGGAACAGATCCTCTCTCACAGAGCTCAGAAGGAACCAACGCTGCCAACACCTTGATCTTGGACTTCCAGCCTCCAGAAGTGTGAGACAATAAATTTTCATTGTTTTAGCCACCCAGTCTGTCATACTTGGTTACCACACTCCTAGCCAAATAATACGGTAGATAACCAAGTTGGACTGAGCAACCCAGCTTTTGTGGCTCAAATCTTGGTCAGTTATAAGCTTTATCTTGGTCATAGACTCCAGAAGGAATCTGCAACTTCTTATTTACGATAAGTCCCTCACAACTAGATACTTCTACTAAATGTTCACTTAAGATTGTTACATGGTGTGGGTCGTATTGGTGAAATTTGTGTTATTTCTGGCCATTTATAAGGACTTCGCCTTCCAAAATCTCCTTCAAAGCCTGGCAGCTTTCTATCTACTGACACTGTTGCGATGACAAACCAATACTGGCTTTAGCAGTCAAATCCTACCTACTTCACAGTGGTTGAACCAACGGTTAAAGCATTCAGCTTTGCCTGATTTGGTCATAGATGAGGTGAGATGCATTTTCTTTCCTGATCAAGCAGCATTACCTTCCAGGGTGGAATGAAATGCAGTTGTTCATTTAGCAGTTGTGTTGAAAAGGTTTGTGTATTTTCCACCTCAATGAAACCCAACGTGTTCTCCAAGTCAGCCAGGACTGCATTAACCACAGCTCCACAGACCACCTGTGGCCCCAGCAGGGTAAGAGTGTGAATAGCTCCATACAGCTGTGCCTGGCATCTAGCAGTCTATGAAAAACGTTTCTCAATTCATTTAGGGACCAGAATACATTCACTTCCTATGAAAGAACTAATGACTTAAGTGATGGACTGGGAGTGGAGAAAAGGGGTGGTGGGCGACTGCGTATATTAAAGGAATTTGAAACTTAACTCCTTGAAAGGTACTATTATGTACTAGTACTGTTCCAGAATAGTTCAACTTATTTCTCAGGCCTGCCTGATGATAATCTGGGGAAACAGGACCGACTAAGTATCATTATGTCTCTTAAGCATTTAAAGGAACTGAAATGTGGAAATGAAGGAACAACTCATAGATGTACCTCCCCCTCCCCTGCTCTAAAGTTTAATTCAAATGTAACTGAAACTACTGTTTCCCTAGGAAGGTAGCTTGGGCATTTGAATAGGCAAATGAAAGCTTGATACTTTTGTCTATTTTTAACAAATCGTTGTCAACTACAATTTTGATAGCTTTGATAGCTTTGATAGCTTTAGGGGAGGGTGAAACAGGCTGCCACAGCCCTCAACTTTTCTTCCTTTAAAGGAAGAAATACAAAGGGTGGGCAAGATGGCGCTCCCTAACTGTGGAGGGTGAACACAGTCTGGTTCTGACGTGAAAGCCCATTAGAGAATGGACTCTGTGAACATCACTGTTTAACCACGGGTTACCGTTTAGGAGACTAGACGCATCCATCAGGTTTGGGCAGCATATATTCTGCTGAATTTACTTCTTATATTTCATATTAGGCTTTTCATTCATAGGGCCAAAATTCTAATTTCATCTCCAAATGTGCCTATTCCAATTCTTTTTGTGGTTGGTATAGTTTTAAGGAAAGAACCTCTTGCTCTGACTTCTCCAACTGTCAATGCCTTATCTCCTATCTAGAAATTATTGCAGCGTCTGGTCGCCTCTGGAGGGTCATTTCGGGGCAATCTCCCATTCTCAGGATGGCACCAAATCTTAAGTTGGGAGATGTGGAGGGAGGAGAAGAAAGCATTTCCAACAGCAAAATGAGCTGGGATAAATTTAAAAAAAGAGAGCTGGAGACCTAAGTAGCTCAATGTGGTGAAATTGTCGCTTATCCGAGTAGAACCAAACAGCATATTCTTCTATCACACACACTCTATCAGAAGAGCTGAAAGAACAGGAGAAGGGCAGGGAAAGCAGCTTAGAGGAGAGAGGAGAAGTAGAACAAAATAAAGCAATACAAAATAAAATAAAATACGGGGAGCATAGGCTGGTGGAAGGGTACAGGAGTGGCGACTAGCCCACAGTGGAGATGGTGATTGACACAGGCTCTCAGTGAATAGGAAGCCATGATGGTGGAGAAGGGCTGTGGTCAGCTCTGAGTGGAAGAAAACCTGAACCATTTTGTTGTGTAGAAACTCACCATCTTACGTGTCTTGGCCCATCAGGAGCTGATTATATTACAACATGATAAAATATTTGCTCATAATTAAGGATCTGTAGCTATCAGGAAAAGTTTGAATTATGCTGTATATGTTATTAAAGAAGGAAAACAAGTTTATAATAAATGAAATGTTTTATTTAAAAGAAAACTTTGAGTGAAATAAATTTATGGATCTGTGAAGTGTTATAAAGAGCCATCAATTCCTTGAAATGTTGGAAAATTGATGTGGATATTGTGTTGTACCTTACCATTGAGATAAAAAGATGGGAAGTTAAATTTCAAAGGAAAAAAATCATTGCCTTGAAATTATTACCAGCGTAGTGGGGGCAATTTGCGACACATAAACATTGAAGAATGAAAGGAATAAAAATAAAGATGGCCTGAAACACCCAGATACACACATATACACACTCACACAAACTCACACACACACACTTGATCGATGCTCTCCTGTTTCATTTTGTTCTTCCCCTCTCTTGCCTTTTTACTGAAAGCACTGTGTTTGTTACTCTTCCTGTTTCAGGATTTCTAAGTATAAAATAGACCCAGAAGGTGGAAGTGCTAGTAGGAGAAAAGTCAGTTTGCGTAAAGAAAATTCGTATAGAATCTAGGTTCCGAGAAAGCTTTTTTATCTGATAGACCTCACCGTGTGACCTATCCCACCCCCTCCCCACCCTCATTTCAAGTTGGCTTTAAGCACACATTTCTAGGGCTTTCTATGCTCATGTATTATTGACAAGCACTCTCTTTCTCCATTCCCACGGGGCACTACATGAATCCTGCGGTGAGCTAGCACTTTAGCAAGGGGAAATTAGCGGGTAAGAGTCTGTTATTTCATCATCCCAGCAAGCAGAACGAACACCTCCCTACCTGTTGTTTACTAACTAAATGGGCACCAACGAAATCTCATTAGAACAGAAAGTCCAGGCTCTCGAGTTCAAAGTCCCCTCATCTCTGGTCTCCTTGGAGGGAGAGATTGCCGAGCCCCAGGAGATGGTTTTGAAGGAGCCAGAAGGGGAAGCTGGAGTGGAAGCAGGCCACTGCAATGGGACTGGATGCAGATCAGCTAGGAGACCCCTGGAATGCATTATTTGTCTTCTCACTTTTACAATACAGGCTTCTAAGGCACGTCTGGGATGCCCAAAACGTTGACGGGACAGGTAAATATTTAGACAGTGGACAGATAAAGTCACGAGAATTATAATTCCTTAAACTATAATCGCTTGGAGAGAGCTCTGTGTTTGCTCTCTGACGTTTGTTTATTTGTGTGTGCGAGGGTTTTACAAGTGAATCAGGAGAAGAGTAGGTGATCTGTGAGTCACCAACTGTCAACTGGGCTGTGGGTGCTTAAGAATTTGTGGACATTTTGTGGGCTGATTTTTTTTAACGGCAATAGTTCTGTGGGAATTCCTTTGCAAATTTTGAAATAAGTTGTAGAAATAAAGTGAGATTTTCTTTCTTTCCTTCCCTAAAGAGTTAAAAGGAGCCAAATCTTGCCCTAGTTTTGAAAGCATCTTTTCACCTTGCCTTAGGGATTGAGAATGTAGAAAATGAAGTACCCTGTGCACTGGATCTTTGAATGTGAGTGGGTGAGAGGAAAAGCAAAGCCCTGGGTTATTTTAATTGAGCAAGACAGAGAAGGAGATTTTAGAGATTTTAGGTCCTAAAGGCCTGCAAGGTCAATTGTCGTAAAGTTCCTCCTACTGTCCTTGAGGAATCTGAGGTTCCCAGCTACGATAACCCCCCAGGGCAGGGGTTGGGGTGGGGTGGATTCTTTTCTTCTTTTTTTTTCTTAAACTGTTGGCTACCTTACTAGTCACTTTGTGACATACTCACAAAATAGTATGCGTTTTATAGGAACACATACCAACAAATAGATGCCAATTAAATACATTAGAAGGACAAAAAGACAAACAGAATCAGAAAGGCAGAGGGAGATACAAATGGACAGATGGAGAAAGTAAGGAGGCAGAGGCAGACAGAGACAGAGAGATAGAAACAAAGGCAGAGACATAGTGATAGAGAGATAGAGGGACAGAGAGACTGACAGAGACAGGCAGAGAAACAAAGAGACAGACATTATGGTTTTCCTATTAACACATGAATTACGCCTTAGTGTGTTTTGATCATGCAGATATGTGGGAGGAGTGATTGTCTCTTTGTTAATGATTGGTAATTGTATATACTTTGGTTAGAGACTAGGGTTTGTGCAATTCTATTTATCTGTATGATCTGGAACATCCCATGTATCCTATTCTGTGATCACTATTTGTAAATGTTACATGTGTACTAGAAGACAGTAGTGATTGGGTGAGGGTTGTATGGCTATTAGATCAAATTCTTAACTCTGCGGTTCAAGGTTTCTATAGCTTTCTAATTATGTGTCTGTTTCATCTACCTGAGGTTTCTTGAATCAGAGCTTCCTGCTGTGGTGCTCAGAAGGAGTCCATGGCCAAGCTGCAGGTGTTGAGAGACACAAGGTGGAGGAGGATGAGGCCAAGTGGGCTCAGGGGACAGAGCTGCCAGGGACAGACTGTGGAGAGGGATAAGTGGTCATGGAAGTCAGTTAGGCAGTCAGGAATGCCGTTCAAAGAGTCACCATCCTAACTGGGGAGGTGGGCACAGATTCTTCCAAGGCCACTTCAGGACAAATCTCCCATTCTACTTTTTGAGAGAGAACTAGGAAAAATGTGCTATTTTCTACTTGGACAAAGTTGGGTGCTCAGCTTAACAGACCTGCCCTGGTATCATCATTACTCACCAGACCACCCAAGGACCTGCCAAAATTGTTGGGAAAGGCCCCACAGGTCACCCTGTGCCAGTAGTTTTCCAACTCTGTCCCAGAGCTCTGCAGTGTGCTTACACTGGCAAGGGGGAGGCTGCCTTTGCTGGAGCTGTTATGTTGCAGATTTTCTCTGTTAGAATTCCCAGTAAGATTTCCTTTGGGAAAAAGAAGGGTGTTCTGTCCATTAACAAAATGTTTGAAAAGCCACTCATCTAATCTCTTCTCATTTTACAAGTGAGGAAACTGAGACCCAGAGGGGTTAATCAGCTAACCTAGGATTCCACAATTAATGGCACAGATTGAGTTACAACTCTAATCTTTTGACCACCAGGGTACTGGTGGTGATTTTAAAGGAGAACTCAGATATGGAGAAGACTCTAAGTGTTGTAGATACTGGCTGTAATTCTATTTTAAACTGCAAGTGCTTACATGGCAGTAATCACCCATATTTGCGTGTAATAGCTTTTTTTTTTTTTTTTCCCCAAAGATTTTATTTTTTCCTTTCTCTCCCCAAAGCCCTCCGGCACATAGTTGTGCATTCTTCGCTGTGGGCTCCTCTAGTTGTGGCATGTGGGACGCTGCCTCAGCGTGGTCTGACGAGCAGTGCCATGTCCGCGCCCAGGATTCGAACCGACGAAACACTGGGCCGCCTGCAGCAGAGCGCGCGAACTTAACCACTCGGCCACGGGGCCAGCCCCTGTGTGTAATAGCTTTTTAATAATTGCATGTAGCATGTGGATTGGATGAGATTAATAAATTCTTTTTCTTTTATATGATAATTCTGAAGACTTATTTTGCTGATTTGCTTTCTTGTCTGAAAATGGAACCAAGTTCAAATTTCTTGTTTTAAATAATTTAGTTGATAACTAAAATTTTAGCTAAGTGGTGAGCCTCTTTACATTTTGCAGAACACTCTTTCAGAAACAGAAATTATTGTTTGCTGACTTTTAAAGTTTATAGGAATACTTACTTTCTTCCATTTTCCCCATCTTTCAGTTTGAAAGCCTACCCTCCTTTGATCACGCTCCATTTTCAACTTCTAAATAATGCCCATCACCATTGTGTAGTAGTAATAGTGTTTATCTTTAGTAAGACAATAAAATACAATCACTATCTAGGGGTGAATAATAATACCTAAAGGTATAGCAAACAATATAAAGCTGGAGTGGGAAAAATTTAAACTTGGAACTATTGCTGTTTTCCAGTTTCTCCAGTGTCAATTCTCAATATTTAACGGAAAGCATCCTCAGGGCTTGAACTAGCTACCATTTTCCCAACACGTCTTAGGTATTGCAGTTACACATGTGAGGAAAACCTGATCCCTCTCTGAAGTCGTGTGTGCTGGAGTTATACGAAGGCTGTTCTGGGAACCAGGGAGAAAAACAAATAAACTAGACTGGGCAGGCAGGGCATGGGAAGGCTTTTAACAGGAATGCATGCTTTTAAGACCAGTTTTGAGAGACCGAATGAGAACGAATTAAAGGAGGAAAAGCAGGGCAAAATGTGCACCACTCCGAAGCTTGAAGCCCGCTTGGAAACACAAGACCTTCAGGATGTCTGAAAAGACAAAATCCTGTTTGTGGGGGGTAAAAAGGAAGTGAGACGAATAACAGTGGATGGATTGCAGAGGGCTCCACGAGCCAAGATGAGAGTTCAAGCTAGGTTTTTAAATACAGGGCGAGATAGTGAAGTTCAAGCATGGAGGGGCATGGAAGAAAAGCAGTCTGTGGTAACAGAAGACAAAGTGAAAGTGGGAGATTTTCAGAGTAAAGACAAAGACCTACGGTTGCTGTGGAAGGGGGTGGCTAAGTTGGGTTTAGAGGGAAAGGTTTTTGTGGTTGAGGAGATCAAGGGTATTAAGCATTCAATACCAGGGTATAAAATCAATCATCTATTTTCAGACACGGATGTCATACCCAGTGTTTTCAGGAACAGAGGTAGAGAAGAAAAATTGGGGGCTGGATATCCAAATTCTCAGCAAATATCAGGGACAGTCAGGAGTTTGGCAGAAGAGATTGATAGAGTCAGATAACGTTAGCTTCCACATTGCGGTTTTTATTTCCAGACGTGGTTTGGAGGAGCAATGAGGAGGCACAGGAAGTCTCTTTCCCTCTTGAAATCCCTGTAGGTGGAGGTAGGGCGGGAGGTCGAGTCGTCTCCTCTTGAGAGAGGGTGGAGTTAGGTCAAAGTTTAAGGAAAGAGAGTCCATCTAATGATTCTACAAGTGTCAGGTAAGTCGTCACTTAGTAATGGTTACTAACTGTTGCATAAAGAGCTATGACTGCTCTCTGGAGAAGCAGATCCTGACGGCTCAACACATTTTTGCGCCTTTCCTGGATGTTTGAGATATTTGCAGTATTCCTTTACATGTTAATATCTCTACTCTTAGCAGAGAAAGTTTATCTCCATCATTTTGGCTTCAAATGAACTGCACTGTGGTTTGCATGATTTCACGGGCATTCACTCATTTTACCAATGTTCGCTGAGCGCTATGGTGTATTATATGCTGGAGGCATAAAAAGGAACAAGTTAGAAACTGTCTCTCTTTTCATGGAGCTTATGTTCTGGTAAGTGTGGAGTGGTAGTAAGATTTTTTAATACTTAACTTATATCTGTCTTTTAAAAACCAACGAAAAAAGGAGCAACTCTTTATAGCAGCGTTATCGTACATCATTTTAAAAGACAAATATGTAGTACAAAGTGTAAATAAATGAGTATCTGTGTGTGATCAGTAATACTTAACTATTACCAACCCTGCTTACTCTAACCTGTGGTTGCTTTTTATTGTTGATTTCTTATAATGTGTTAGATATTTTAGAAGCATAGTCATTTTTCCGTAAGCAATATGACATTCAAAGTCCCTGAATGAATGGCTTGGTGAGGCGTGCTAGGTCCATGCCTGGGATCTGGGCCCGCGAACCCCTGCCTGCTGAAGCGGAGTGCATGAACTTAACCACTAGGCCACAGGCCAACCCCCTCATATTTCTTTACAAATGGTCTGTAGTCACTATTTAGGCCAATCTCCGTGGTATTGAATATCCCAATGACTCCTGCCAGATGTGTATAATTTTTCCCTTTTATAAGAGGCGGAAAATTTTCCTCATTCCCAGTGGGAATTGAGTTTATTAGCTTTTACCATTTTCATTATTTGCATTAATTTCCTCCACAGTAGTGAACAGTCAGAGTTGGAATGAAAAAAAGTTCGGGTTACACTCCAAATTGCTTTGGTAAAAGGTTATATTTTTCCTCTAACAAATTATTTTAAAAGTAACAGTGAAAAAACGTAAGTCTTAAAAATGAAACTAAAAATGGCTTTAATTACAGGTGTAGTAAAACTCCAGTGATTGGTACAAATTCTGCGAAGACTCATATGTT